TTTATTAATTAATTTTACTATAAACTAAGCTGTAATAGCTTTATTTCTGTACATTTGCTCATACCCTTTGAGATTTCAGATATTCCTTTTAAGCCAATATTGTTTGAGCTTTTTTAAATAAAATATGAATAAAAGTAATAAGAAATTGAGTTAAACTAATAAATTTTATTAAATAAATTACTTAAAATAAAGTCTTAATTCCACTATTTTTCTGCAATTAGTCAAAGCCTAGCCAATTGCTAAAGCTCCTTCATCACCTATTTAGTTTTCCCTTTAATTATTAATAATGCACTTTTTAATTTTTTTTTAAGTTTTTCTAAAGCCAGATAAAAAATTGAAGAATATTAAAAACAAATTAATGAGTGATTAATCTTATTTACGATAAATTGATATACAAAAATTAGTTAATTGCTATAAAATTATAGATAATTTTTTTAATTAAAACTAACTATCTTATTTTTCTAATTTTATTATCATAATCGCTTATCTACTGATTAAAACTCTCATAAATTTCTTTTATTTTACTTTGAGCTTATAAAAAAATGAGTGAAGATAAATATATATTTTCATATTTGTTAAAATAAATAAAAATACAATAGTATTTAATATGTATTAATTTTATTCAATATTTATTAATAATGTATTCAAATATATTGTAATATATTTTTAAAATATTAAAATATATGTATTTTAATTTATATTATTTTATATTCATAAAGTACACTTATATATAACCAATCTATCATAATTTATTTTTATAATAATTATTTATTTTTTAAATAAGCTCATCAAAATATATAGTAAATTAAGCTAATATTTTATTGAGTTGATTATTTGAACTAAATATTTACTAAATTAATACTTTTTTTAATTTATTAATCATATATAAAAAATAATTCAAGTTATTGCTATATCGATGGCAATGATGCATCAAATTTGGCAAGTGCTTTATAAAAGTACTCAAACATGTCGAAATTGACTGTCTATCTAAAGTAATAATTATTTTTTTTATTAATTACTATTTAAATCTTTTTCTAATACCTTTATTCTGTTATTTTTTTATTTGGTTAGCTAAATTGGTAAATATTTATAATTCTTGAGTTTTTAAACAAAATTTATTATTTTTTTTATAGAATCCTTCTTTCTTATTTATTTTTATATCATTGAAAAACTTATTATAACTATTTTAAAAGCAATAATAAGATTGGCAATATGTATATATGTATCAGAGTTATGCTCTGCTTTTAAAAAGTAAATAAACTTTAAAATTTATCTTTTGATATTATGTAAATGAGTTATTTTTATTCTTAATACTATTTTTTAATGATAAAAAGTTTATAATAAATAATAACATACCTTTAAATAGTAAGATTAGGTTATTTTATCAAATTATAGTCATTTTTTTAATTCCTTATAATTGCTTTTCCAAGTAAACAAGACAAAATAATTTTTTTTTTTAATAAGAAGAAATTAAATTAATGAATGAATCAAGAATTAAAGTTTTAAATGAAAATGGAAGTTACTAAAACCAAGAAAGAGATTATTTACAGAAATCCTTTTTTTTTGAAAAAAACTTATCAATAGATATATTAGTAAGCTAATAAATAATCTTTAATTTTTAATTATTCACATAATTTAGCTGTATTTAGCATTCGAAAGTGTTTAATTTACAAAACCATTTATTTTTTTAATTTTTTACTTATTTCATATTTGTTTTTTGTTTTAAAAAACCAACATAATTAAGCTAAATAAATTAATATTTTAAAAGTATATAATGAGATATGTTAAATTTTATTTTTAGATTAGAAACTAGAAATATAATATTTTTTAATCTACTTTTGTTATTTTTTTGATTAACTCTAATATAAATTTAGTATCATTAATATGAATGTTGTAAATAAAAAGCATTACATCTATTTTTTTTGTGTTTAGTTTTCAGAAGAAGAAAATCAAAATAAAATCAGAAATTGATATGATTATTTACATAGATTTTAATTAAAAGAACTACCTATAATATTATATTAAAAAAGAAGTTTGCATATTAATTTTTCTTTATATAACAAATTGTGTTAGTAGAATAGTAGATAAATAAATAGTTAACCAAAAGCATCTAATTTAGTTGAATTGCATAAAAAATAGCAGAAAAGTTTATTTAGGCATAGAATAATTAAAAAAAAATAGGCTTTAAAGAAATTCTCAAAGTAGATCAAGCAAAGTTTGTAAACATAAATAAGATCATTGAAGAAAAAATGATTCTAGAGAATATTCAAAACTAGTTTTTCAATATTCTCAAAATTTTAGTTGGTAAAACAACAACATCAGAGCAGATAGCAATGAAATATGAATTGATTTATAAACTGCTATAAACTTAAGCCCACTCAGATTAAATGAGTTCCCTCCATTTTTAATCTTGCAACAATAAGGATTAAATTTTCAAGATCATCTAATCATCAGGGATGTTAAACAATCTTAAAATAATATTGCAATTAATGCTGATAATGCCTCGATTAAAAGTTTAACTTAATAAATTAGCAGAAGGAATTACTCATTTAACTGAAATTAAGCTTTGCAAGAGTAAGATTTCTACATATTCTATTGCTTATTTTGATTTTATCATATTTTTAAAGAATGCACTTTTACCACATATCTTTTATTACTTATTAAAGCTAATTACTTAATTCAGTTATATAGTTAATATTCATTTAATCATCAAAAATTCCTTTTTAAATAAAAACAATCAAAAAAAAAATTTGCCAATCATATCAATCATATCATAATATGTGAACAACATTCATTTCATTTTACAATAGTTAACTAAATCAAATTTTAGTATAATTAATATATTTTAAATTTAAGAATTCTTTCAGTATTAATATAATATAAATTATTCTCTATCGAATATTAAATAAGTCATTAAATTTTAAGAGGGTTTAATAGTTCAAAATTTAAAAATAAAATGTAAATTTTTATATTTTCATTTTTAAAATATCAGGTCTAGTTTAGATTATATTCTTTTATTTGCCCTAAAGTTTTATGGGGGTGTTTTATATGTATATATTAAAGAGTGAAATTCATTAAACTTCAAAAATAGGATTAAAAAACAAATGAAAATGTTGATCTTTTTAAGATAAATATCAAAATAAATAAATAAATCATTAAATAATTTAAAAATAAATATTTGATTACATAATTTATTTTTAAACTTATTATTATAAAGCATAAACAACAAACATTATTATTCATATCAAATTTTAAATATTAAAAAATAGGCTCTTTATGTAATTAATATTTTCATTTTTATTAAAAGTTGATTTAGGCTTACCCTTTCTCTAAAGCAGAATAAATGCCTTTTAAGCTAAGCATGTAATTCTTTTATTATTTTAAATATATTTTAAACAAATAATCGTCTAAATAGATTTACTAACTAGTTGTTAAAAGATTATTTAGGTTTTCAAACACAATATATTTAAAATATTTTGTAAAGCAATAATTCTTTATTAAAATTATATTTATATTAATAATTAGCTAAATAATAAATAGTATAAAGCATCAGCAGCATAACTATAGGTATCTCTTACTTGTTAAAATAATTATTTCTCACCATACTAAAAGAAAGAAGACCAATACTAAATAAAATTCTTAAAAATGAAAAATAATCTGAATCTAGAACATGTAATTTTAAAAGAGAATATCAAATTAAACTATTAAAATAGTTATTGGTAAATTCTTTTAAACTTCTTACATATTAATTAAATTAAAAATGTTTTTCTAAGTTTTAAATACCAAATTATTTTCTAAATATTTTAATATTTTTACTTTAAATTAATTATTTAAAATATTTACCTTAAAATGGATAACTCTATCAATTCATTTCAAAATAATAACTATTGTAAATTATTTTTATATTTAAATTATCCTCAAATTTTTAAAGCACAAAAAAAAAATAAGTAAATTCTTTACTAATCAATATATTTTTAATTAATTAATTAAATTATCAATATAACTTTAATTTTAATTAAAATTGAAAAGTTTATATTTACTTAAATAGCATAATTTTTGGATTTCAAGTAAATCCTCAACTTAAACTAATAATTTCAACTAAAAATAAAATATCAAAATCAATTTAAATTTAAATAAATAAATTGGAGATAATTAAATAAAAATCCAATAATTAATATACAGCATAAAAAATAAATATTATTTATATTTTATTGTATTTATTTTAAAATTTTTTTAAAATCATTAGTTTTCTTAAAGCAGCAAGACAAGTTAATAGTAAGGCAGTTTCTAAAACTAATTTATAATTCTCTGTTGATTAATAATAACCATTTAATAAAGATAATGATACTAAATTAATCATTCAACAAAATAAGGACATCATAAATAAATTATCCTAACCAAAACTAAATAAGTTAAGAAATGCTCTTTTAATTGGATAAAAACCAAGAATTATAAAAATTTTGTAAAAAGAAAAAGCAATATCTAATAAAAATAAATCATAATTGTTTGGAGGAAGTAAAAATCAAAAAGATTTTGATAGCTATTAAAAAACAATCTTTAAGAAAAATAGAAAAAAAATTAGCTCATTAATAAATACTAATGTAGAGGAGAATAAAATTAAAGTTGAATTTAATGAAACTTAAAATGAACAAAATTATTCTAATACTCAATAAGGAAAAAATTATGAATTTAATAAGGAACTAGAATAATTTTTTTTAAATTGGCCCAAGTATATAAAAATAATTCAAAAGTACGATTAAAGTTTGAAAATGAAAAAATACAAAATTTTAGTTGAATAAAAGGGAGAATAGCCTTAAAGCACTAAAATTATCTAATAATCATCTTAAACAGCTTTTCAGTTATCAAACTAAGGTATTTACATTTCTAATTAAAAAACTTCTTCTTAATTTGGATAAAAAGGCATTCAAAGATGTGAATTCCTCAAAGAAATTCTAAATGCCAAATAATAAAATCAAGAAAATAAAAAGAATTAACCAATTAAACAAACAAAAAATCTTGATGATTATTCTGAGCAATTTTTAAGATAAATATTTAAATTTGGTGATCATATCAATAGTGGAGGGGAGGCAGATATTTTTACAAATCAAAATGATAACAATATTGCATATAGAGTAATTAAATTAAATGGAGATGAGGATCTAAGGAAATAAGAAAAAGAATTATTAAGATTTTAGGAATTATAAGAATAAAATATTTTAAATTTAAATAGTTCTCATCTAATAGAAGATAAAGTTAATCATACTAAATATATCATTTATGCTATGTAAAAATGTTAAATGAGTCTTCAAGATGAAATATTATCAAAAAAAGTTTTTAGTCTTAGAGAAACTTTAAAATTTATTTCTACTGCATTTCATTTATTGATTGTACTTAGATAAAAGTATATTTATCATTCAGATATTAAACCAGGAAATATCTTAAAATTTGATGATAATAATTACTAATTATCTGATTTTGGTGCTTCATAATAAGTTGATTTTATTGACCCTTTTTGTGATTTTGAAATGTATACACCTGGTTTTATACCATAAAAAAATAAGAATTTACCTTTTTATCATGATATGTATTCTTTTGGTAAAACTATCCAAAAGTTATTAATGTAATCAGAGAATCAATCAGAAATTTCTGATTTTTTAAATAAATTTAAAGATGAAGAAATTTGTAAAGATGATGAAAATTCTATTAATGTAGATTGCTTTGAGTTGCCAAGAAAGTTTATAAATATTTTAATGGAATTTACTAATCATGAAGTAAAGGCATTCTTAGAGGAATATTTAAAATAGATAGAACAATTCTTAGTCATCAAAAAAGAAAATAAAGTATTTCAGTATGAATCATAATATTAATATGCTGAAATAGCTCTTTTCATTATTTTAAAAAGTCAAGATAACAATTAGTAGAGTCAGTTAACTTCAATTAAAATTAAGGCACTGATAACTAAAAGTTATATTTTATGTAAAAGAAAACAATATTAATAATCTCTCTAAATAATTAATGAAATTTTTAGAGAAGATTTTGAAGATAATAGTGAGTCAGAAATCCTAATAAAATCAATTAGAATTGTAACTAAGATCTTAATAAAGCTAAATAATAAGACAAAATTATCATAAGAAAATTAAAATAAACTGATTGAATTAATTAAATTAGCTAATATAGGTGAAGAATTTGATAAATTAAAAATAAAGATAATAGAGCTTCTATTGCTAAAATCAAATGATATATATCCAATCATTAGAAATTTTTATGATTCTCTAAAAAAATAAGTTGAAAACTAGGAGTTTGATATAGTTTATAGAATAATTATCAAATTGATTAGGTATTTAAGAAAATAAAATTGTTATGAAAAATCTCTTTATTATTTAATTTAATTTATTAAAGATGATAAAACAAATCAGGATTCTTATTACAAGTAAAAATTACTGAAAGAAATGGGCTTATACCTTTACAAATTTCTTTTTTAAAATGAATAGCTAGACATAAAATTATAAGTTAAATATGAAAAAGAAATTTTACTCTTGCCATTAATTATTTTTAATTGCTTGAATGACATTAAGCTAAAAAAATCAAATTTATAAATTTAATTTGATAAAAGTATTTGGTAATTATATTCAATAATTATAAAGCTATAAGAATTAAATATTTATAGCTTTGATGAACGCAATAATATTTTAAATAATTTAGAAAAAAAATTTAAAAATATAATGGTTAAAATAGAAGATAATAACTAATTGCCATATAAAGAATATGTTTTATACAACAAACTTAATTACTATGAAAAGTATCTGAAAAGAAATAATATAAAAAATTATTAGTTTTTTAATGAAGAAGAAATTAGATACAAAGAAAAACAAATAATTTAATCAATAAGTCTTATTTAATAAACAATTATTATGGATAACAAATAAAATAAAAATGAAACAAATAGTGAGATATGTTAAAATCAAAAAGAAGCAATGAGCTTGCTTAATTTGATAACATACTTTGAAAGTAAAGAAATAAGTCTAAATTATATAGGTTCTTTAGAAAAATTCAATGAAGAGTTTGAATCACTTAATTCTTAGCTCAATTTTTATAATATAATATATTACGATCTAAAAAAGTAATTATTTAAATTAAAATCGTTTTGCTAAAAAAGAAATTTAAATTTATTTATTTTAAATAATTTTTTTTTTGTCAATATTTAATTTTAGTTATTATTAAAATAAAGCTTGTATGAAAAAGAGAAGATTTTTATAGAAATTACGAATTTAAATATTGAAATACTTGATTAAGATGAGTGTGAATATTACTAAATTGAGAAGGAAGGATCTTTAAGTTTAATAATAAAGTAAAATTATTTGGTTCATTTAATTCATTAAATTGAATAAATTACATATTTTTAAAAATTCTTCATATTTTTTAGATTTTAAATATTTTACTAAAAATTAAATAAATTTCATGATAAATTATTGATTATCTATTAATTGCTCAAAGTCATATTTATTAAATAAAATATTAATAGTGAGTTTAGTAAAGAAAGCTTATTAAATAATCCATATTTTACTTTTCTTACATAAAATTTGAGAAAAGTACAAGCTCTCAAATTCAAATACTAATTCAAGTAAGCAATTCTGTTTAAAGATTAAATTAATTTATATTATTTAAATATTATTATTCATAATAGATTTCTCTTTGATTTTTAGTCTCGTGGAGAAAATTATTAACTTGATATCTTAAATAAATTGAATTTTTATTTTGAATGGTTTAGGCTAACTAAAATTCTAAATAACATCACTCATTTAACACTCGATTTTAGGTAATTAGTTTTATTAATTAGATAGTTCTCTACTTTTTATTCTAAATTATATTTTTACTTTTCTTCATTTATAAATAAATAAAATCGATATGTTTTTATATATTTAATATATATGATAGATTTTTTAAATTTGGTACATATTAGATGTCTAAATTATTATGAAATTATATAAATTTTTTATTTTATAAAATGCTTAAATAATTTTATAAGAATTATTATTATCTTAGCATTAAAATTTTAGAATTAATACTCTGCCAACATTTTAAATTTATTTTATTTATCATAAAATTTTTAAAAGAAAGTTTAAATTAAAAATAATATAATGAATTCATTTAAGAATTTAATTTTTCTTCTTTAAATAACAATAAAACATTTTCTTTTATTTTAGCATTTTTTTTATTAAACATTAAAAAGAACCAGTAGGTTTATGAAAAAAAATTATTACTAATATTTCAAATATTATCTTTATTTTATTTTCATAATTATAATAGTGAAATACAAGCCTTATTATAAAAAGAAATAGATTAGAATTAACAGGAAATTTTATATCATTTTAATTAGATGTGCCCAAGAATTACTGAATTAAATATTAGTTATAAGTAAATTTCACTTTTTCAAAACAAAATAATAAATTAATATTAGTATTCTTAAATTAACAACTTAACTAATTAAAATTATTTGAAATGAAATGATAAAAAAATTAATGATTATGGTACTTATATTATCATCAAAACTATTTTAATAAAAAGCCACGATATTGTTAAATTAAGCCATAAACTATTTAAATAATTTTAATCTGATTTTAATAATTACTTAAAATTTAAATTCAATGAAATACTATTTATAAAATATAGGAAAAAGAATAATTTTTAGGATATTTTTTATGGCATTTTTAATTTTGATAATGAACTTGGAGAACTTACTTCATTAAAATTATAGTTAAAGTAGTTTTAATTTTAATTTTTTCTATTTACTTTAAAAGGTCAAAAATAATTCTTTTATTTTAATTAAAAAATATTTAAAATGGTAGGTTTAAAGATAATGAAATAACTAAATATATTTAAGATTTTCTTTTAGAAATAATTAAATTTTTAGAGTTTGATAATTGTATAAAAATTAACCTCAAGAAAAAAACTGATATTGGACTTAATTTAAAGTAATTTTCTTATAATTATTTCAGTAAAATTAATTTAATATTTACCAAAATGTAATACAGAAAAAAAAAACTGTGATTTCAATTAATTTAACTTTTTTACCAAATAATTTTTGAGCTTTTGTTAGTATTAATAAAAATTTTGAGTAAGCAAGCTCTATTTGCTAATTATAAATTAATTAAAGTGAATGAAAATTTTATTTTTGAACTTTTTTATATATTTTACTTGAATGAGTAGTTTTTGAGCAATATTTTATATAAATTTTAATTTATTAATCAAAACATTATCACTTAATAAGAAGCTCTTATAAATATAAAGATTTATAAAATAATAAAAATATTTTATACATAGTTCTTTATTTAGAGTAAAATTAGCTAATTAATTAATTAGACTCATTTTTTCATATAATTATTTTAATATATTTAGTTTAAATTTTATTTCGTTTATTTTTATGGATATAAATTAATAATTAAACCTTAATAATCATAGTGGTATTGAAATATTGAAATATCATAAATCTAAAATTTTTGATATCACTTCAAATATTCTAATGCTTAAGCACAATCAAGATTACATAAAGAGAGAATATTTATTTTAAAAGTAACTTTAGCATACTTAAAAAGTCGATAAAATGTAACAATTTCTTTTATCTAATTTTTGTAAAATAATAGCTTTATTGACTGCTTCTTTATTTTCTCATTTATTGCTTTTATTTGTTTAACGATTCTTATTTCTTTTTTCTTTTGAAAACCAAAATATTTTAGAGAAACAAAGTTATGCATTCAAGTATCTGACATAACTGAAGAGTATCTAGATTAAAGAGAAAATACTAGTTAATTAAATAGTACTTCAAGGTAAAAATATATTTTTTTACTTACTTTGATTTTAGTTAGACAGTAGATGAATCAATATTTTTCTTTAATTAAAAAAATAAGCTTGTTATTTTTTTTTACTTTTAATAAATTTACTCCTCTTTAAATGAAATTTATTTTAAATTATTTATACTAAAATTTTAATATATACGATTTTAGAAGTCCAAATCAATTAGAATAGATTACTATATCAGAAATTAGCATTAAGTAATATAATTTTTAAGTTCTTAATTCGCAGTTATTTTGTTGATCTTTTTATATTTTAATTATCATATGCTATTAAATAAATAATCAAAAATATATATTTAAAATATGAATAGTTGGCAAAATATTTTTACTACTACAGCTCAAAACATTGCTCAATACTTATTAACAAAATAATAAAGTTAATTCAACCTTAATCTAATGTAATAAATATAAAGATATTATTTTTTCTAAATTAATTAATTATTATTTACTTACTATAAAAATTCAAATATTAAGGTACTCCCTTATATTTTTATTCTCGAAATATTATTTGTGAAAAACCTTAATTAGTTAACCTTACATTTTTTATAAATATAAATTAAAATAAGTGTTCAAGGTAGCTAATTATTTAATGAAGATTAATGTTTAAAAAATTGTAAATAAATCAATAAATATGTTTACTTCAATTGCCTTAGCTTGATGTAAATTAATTAATTAGTTAATTAATTAATGTTTTGATTTATATTTTTTATTCAATATTTTTTTAGTTAGAATAAAGAGAGTATTGAAATAGAATAATTAGATCTTCATTTAGAGTAATTTATTATATAATACTTTCTTCATAAATTTTAATAAATTTGAGAGATTAAATTTCTGTATATTTTTTATTTAAATTATTTAAAATATTAAAAAAGTTTCAATATAATCTATTCAGAGGCAGCTACAGTTATTAAAAATATGTTGCATAAGTTCAAAAGTAATATCAAATTAAAGCATAACTTCAAGTAAAATAAATAATTATCAATAATATTCAATTTTTTCTCATTTTTTATTTATTTTTCATTTAAAAAATAAAATAATAATTAAAATTAATAATTTTGGTTTTTTCTTTTAGTTCATGCAACATTTTTGATTTTGAAACTGTTATGAGTTCTATAGATAAACCTGTAAACATGTTCAAAATCGATATATGCTAAATGTAATTTTCTTAAAATTTATCCCTTATTTTTTGAACTTCTTTAATAAATAATAAGATCTAACGGATATATTTATAAGGAGGGAGCTTAAGAGATTGCAAATACTTTAGCAAAATGCTAAAATGCCAGTTATTTAAGCCTTTTGTTAGAGTAGAAATCATTAACTTTTTTACATATATTTTTTATAGATTTTTAAAAATTTTGTTTTAAAAGTACTAATATTTAAAAATTAAATCAATTAGTTGTAACAATACGACACATTAAATAACTAAAATTATTGCAAATAGTTTGGAAAAATTAGAAGAAATAACTTAATTAAGTCTCAAAATATTGTATTCTTTTAATTTAAGCTTATAAATATTATTGGCTGTTTAAATAATAAAACTATTTTATTATTATCAATTTATTCAAATTAAATTAATTGTTTTTGCATAGTTCAAACAAAATTCGTATTTAAGGAGCTAAGTATATTTTAAACACTATTAAGCACTTTAGAAAGGTTACTTAATTAGATATTGATTTAAGGTAATTTAGCATTTTACTTAAATAATTTATTTTTAACCTCTTTTCTTATTTTATTTTATTTAGAAAATATTAATTTAAATATTTAATTAATAGTAATAATTATATAACAGAAGAAGTAGTTTAATGTTTTGCAGATTCTATATTAAATTGCCAAAATATTACCACATTTAATCTTTCCTTAAGGTTATTTATTTTCTAAAATTTTAATTTTTTCATAATTCCTGAAAAAAATAATTTTATTGTTTATTACTATTTTTATATTTATTTTTAGTCAAAATATTTTTATTTTAAAAATTTAAATAAAATATAGTTATTGTAAAAAATTTTGTATTAATTAATTTTTTTAGTAATAGTTCAATTGATGCAGCGGCCATTAAACATATTGCTAATTCATTGCAAAAGCTCATAAATCTTTCTTAGTTACATCTTAATTTATAGTAAGTTTCTTATGACATGAATTATTTCATAATTAAAAATCCTAATAATTTGATGAATAAATATTTTTTTCAAGCTATCTTTTTTCAAACATTAACTTTTTTAATCATAAATATTTACTATTTTTATAATAAATAGCTAAAATTAAATTGGTATAGATGGTACTCGTTATATTACAGGAGTTTTGAATTATTGCAATAATCTTAACTAGCTAAGCATAGATTTAGGGTAATTTTCATTCAAATTTATTTTTATTTTCATTAAAGCTATTTCTTATTTTTATTTGCAAATTTTTTCATATTTACTTTTTTTAAATTTAAATAGTGAGAATGATATTAAAGATGAAGGAGCAAGTATTATTGCTTGGGGTTTGGAAAAATGTGAAAACATGACTTATTTAAAACTTGATTTAGCGTAGTTTTAATTATAAAATTTATTTATTTTTTAATGAGAATTATTTTTAATTCCAAATTAATTTTGTTAGGAAAAATGATATTTCAAGTGAAGGAGCTAAGAACATTTCAAATGCTTTGAAAAGATGTAATAAAATCACTAGTTTAAATATTGATTTTAAGTAATTAATTTAATCAAATTTATTTGATATATTTGAAATAAAATATTTTTATAAAATTAACTTCACTTAATAAGAATTTTTATCTCAAAATTTAAATAATTGCTTATAATTTTATTCCATTTTTAGAAATAATTAAATCGATGGTAAAGGATTAAACAGTGTCATTAACATTATATTTAAATGTTAAAAAATTACTCTCGCTTGTCTTAATTTTAAGTAATTTTATTAATAATTTTTTTCAGTAAAAATAAATTAAATTTTTTTAATCTTTTTTTAGAAATTTATTTTTAAAAATTTATAAAAAGTAAAATTTTTTAAATAATTTTTTTAGTCATAATAAAATTAATGAGAATCTATCTTTAAATATTGAAAATAATGATGAAAAATCCCATAATATCACTTAATTTAGTCTTGATTTGAGGTAAAATTTATTTATCATATAAAAAATAATTTGTAACTAATTTATTTTAATTAACTGATTTCTTTCTACTTCTAAGTTTAAATAAAATTTTATTTAGTGGTAATACAATCAGTCTTGAGTAAGCTTAGAATATTACACATTGTCTAAAAAGATGTAAAAATCTATAGAACCTAAATCTTAGCTTGCTTGATAGTAATCTAGAAAATGAGCTTTTTTTAATAATTTTCTTGTAAAATTGTCAAAGTCTCACTAAATAAATAGATTTAAGGTAGTTTCTTAAATTAGTTTCTTTATTATAAAAGTTTTTGTAATTAGTTTGAAATATTATTTTTTAGGAAAAGTAGAATTTCTGCTAAAGAAGCTAAGAGTATTGCACTTTTAAATCACTAAATTTTGTAATACTTTTGAATTTATTGTTTAATTTTTTTAAATTAAAATATAAATAAAATATTTTTAAAGGGATTATTAAATAGTCTCTGAAGGTATAATAGGTATTACGAATGCTTAGGAAAAGTGTCAAAGAATTAGAAAATTAAATTTAAATTTTTGGTAATTTTAAACTACAATTTTATTTGATTTAAGCATTTAAATTAAAAAAAACTATTCAAGTATGTTTATTTTATTTTTTATTACTTTAAAAAAAAAATTGAGTAGTAAACTTGAATAAGAGAGTGATATTTCTAAAATTTTTTCAGGTTATTTGTGGAATAGTGAAAATATTAGTGAATTAAGAATTTAATTTGATGGGTAACTTTCATAGTTTTCATTTTTATTTTTTAAATTAATAAAATAAATAAATTAATTAATTACTTGATTGATTGATTGATTTATTACTTATGATTGAAAAGCAGTGTTTGGAATCGAAAGCTTCGATATTAAAAAAATGAATAGAAAAATAGAAACTAATTGATATTTGATATTCGCTGTTTAATTTTCATTCATTTTATTGATATCGAAATTTTCTACCAACTCTTTTGAAAAGTAATTTTTATTATTAAAAGTTTAATTATCTTATAAATAGTTATACACATTTCAATATTCTCGCTAAAAATATTTGCAACGTGTTGAAACAATGTTAAAATCTTACTCAACTATCTCTTAAATTCTTGTAATTTTATACTCAAGCCTTTTTGATAAATTTTTTTTTAAATAAGAAAAATATTTTGTTATTTAATATTTTAAATTGCTGCTAAAGATGTTAATTCTACTTTTATTTTTATATATATTTTTTTAAAGGGTTTGGAATAAGGAATAAGATATCATACATTTTCATTAAAATTTTTAGAATCTCTCTGGTTAAATAGAAATATTATAAAATCTTAGTAGACTAAAACTTAGCTTTAAGTATTTCTTTTTTTATTTAATTTAAAGTTTTGATTTATTAGATACATAAAAAATCATACCAAATAACTTAATGATCAAATCAATTTTCTAAATTAAGGAGGATAAAAGAAAAAATACTAATAATTTTTTTTACAATTTTTAACCTTAACTTCAGCATTAATTTAGAAAAAAGAAGTTTTTCTGTTACTTTTTTTTATAGATTTACCATTTTAATTTAAAAGTAATTTAAATATTATTTTTTAGAGGTCATTAAATTGATGAAGAAGGAGCTTATTATATCTCAAGAGCTTTTGTGAAATGTTAAAAAATTACTTAACTAAAACTTAATTTTTGGTAAATAAATAAAGAATCATTATATTTAATTAATTATTTAGTTTTTAATATTTAAAATATATTTGCTCCTTTATTTGATTTTATTAATATTTATATAAATTAAAAATAATTATATAGTGATAATTCAATCAAAGATAAAGGAGCTTAAAAAATCGCAAGTGCTATTGAAAAATGTTAAAATATAACTAATTTAAATCTTAATTTGGGGTAAATTTTTAAAAATTTACTAGAGAAAATAATTAAAAAACAAAATATTATTTTGCAAACTTAATTTAAAATTTCACTTACACATTTACTGCTATGAAATTAAATATATCTTTTATTTAGGCGGAATTAAATATAAGACGAAGGAGCTCAAAGCATTTCAAATACTCTGGAAAAATGCCAAAATATTACAAAATTAAGTCTTAATTTAAGGTATTTTTTATTAATTTTATTTTATTAAATAAATATAAAAGATTTTATTCATATCTATATTTCAATATTTTTAAGTTCTTTCAATAATTTATTAAATTTTTAATTCTTTATTTGTGGTAAATTTTTTGAAATTTATTAGAGAAAATAATTAAAAAATAAAATGTTATTTTGTAAACTTAATTTAAAATTTCAATTACACATTTACTGCTATGAAATTAAAAATATCTTTTATTTAGCTATAATAAAATATAAGACGAAGGAGCTCAAAGCATTTCAAATACTCTGGAAAAATGCCAAAATATTACAAAATTAAATCTTAATTTAAGGTATTTTTTATTAATTTTATTTTATTAAATAAAAATAAAAGATAATTTATTAAATTTTTAACTCTTTATTGGTGATAAATTTTTTGAAATTTAATAGAGAAAATAATTAAAAAACAAAATATTATATTGTAAACTTAATTTAAAATTTCACTTCTACATTTGCTGCTATGAAATTAAATATATCTTTTATTTAGCCATAATAAAATATAAGAAGAAGGAGCTCAAAGCATTTCAAATACTCTGGAAAAATGCCAAAATATTACAAAATTAAATCTTAATTTAAGGTATTTTTATTAAATAAAAGATATAATTCATATCTATATTTCAATATTTTTAAGTTCTTTAAATAATTTATTAAATTTTTATTTATTTAATATTTAGTGAAAAAAAAATAAGTAAGGAAGGAAGGAAAGAATAATCTAAAAATCGCTTTAGAAAGAAGTCAACACATTATAAAATTAAAATATGATTTTTGAGTAAAATTCTTAAATTTTCATCTTTTTGAAATTGTATTTAATAATTTTTTAAATAGACGATGATTACTCCTGAGTATCCTTTGAATGGTGAAACTATTCTAAAATAGAAAAAATATATCTTAATTTATATGAAATATTATAATAGACAAATATTTTAAAAATGATACAAAAAATATTTTTTATGTTTTGTTGAATTTTACTCCTGCTTATTTATAACTTATATTTTTTTTGAGTGAGTAAATTAATTAAAAAAGCTAGTCTAATCTTAAAAATTAGATAAAATAAATTCTAGTAAAAATACAGTAACTAGCAAAATATTAAACCCCCATCCAAAAGCAATTAAAAACAAAAAATAATAAGTTTTATATGTTATGTGCTAATGTTATGAAAAAAAAATTTATACTTGCCATCAATAAAAATATCATTAAATTTTAATAATTAAAATAGAAGAAATTAAATTAATGAAGAATTAAAATTTTAAATGAAAATGGAAGTTGTCAAAACCAATTGATTAGTTATGAAATCGTTTAATATTTGAAAAAAACAAAAAGATAAATATATTAATAAGCTAATAATAGATAATTTTTAATTATTCAAATAATTTAGCTGTATTTAGCATTCAAAAGTGATTAATTTACAAAAACATTTACTATTTTATTTTTTTGCTTTTTTAATTTCATATTTGTTTTTGTTTTAAAAAGCCAATAACTTAAAAGTAATTTAGCATATTGTTGAAATTTATTTTTAATATAGAAAATTAGAAAATTTTTATTTTTTTATTTATTTTCATTAAGATTTTGATTAGATATCTTTTAAATTCAATATAATTAATATATAAATGTTGTAAAAAAAGAATATTGCTTCTACTTTTTTTGTATTGAGTTATCAGAAGAAAAAAATCTAAATAAAATAAGAAATTTATATGATTACTTACATATATTTTAATTAAAGAAAACTCTTTGTAATATCATACTAAAAAAGAAGTTTGCATATTAATTTTTCTTCATTTTACAAATTGTTTTAGTAGAAAAGTAAATAAATTGTAAACCAAAAATTTCTTATTTAGTTGAATTGCATAAAAAATAACAGAAAACTTTATTTAGATATAGAATAATTAAAATAATATAAGCTTAAAAGAAATTCTGAAAGTAGATCAAGTATTTTGCAAGCAGAAATAAGATCATTGAAGAAAAAAATGATTCTAGAGAATATTCAAAATTAAATTTTCAATGTTCTCAAAATTTTAGTTGAGAAAACTTCTAAATTAGATAGATAATCAATAAAATATGAATTTATTTATAAACTACTCTTTACTTAAGCTCACTCAGATTAAAAGAGCTCACTCCATTTTTAATCTTGCAACAATAAGGATTAATTTTTCAAGATAATCTAATCATTAGGGATGTTAAACAATCTAAGACTAATATTGCAATTTAAGCTGTAAATGTCTAAATTAAAAGTATTTCTTAACAAATTGGCAGAAGGAATTACTCATTTTACTGAAATTTAGCTTTATAAAAGTAAAATTTCTACGTATTTTGTTGCTTAATTTGATTTTATCATATTTAATAAAAATTGACTTTTACCAATTACTTAATTCAATAAAGTTAATATTCTTAAAATTATTAATTTAATCATCAAATATATCTTTTTAAACAAAAATCATCAAAAAGATGCTTGCTAATCAATTGTATTTTAAAGAGCAAAATTCATTAAATATTAAAAAATAGGCTTTTTATGTATTAAATATTTTCATTTTTAATAAAATTTGATTTAGGCTTACCCTTTCTTCATAACAGAATAAATACCGTTTAAGCTAAGAATGTAATATTTTTATAGTTTAAATATATTTTAAGCAAATAATCTTCTGAAAAGATTTACGAACTACTTGTAAAAAGATTATTTAGGTTTTCAAACATAAAATATTTTAAATATTTTGCAAAGCAATAATTCTTTATTAAATTATATTAAAATTAATAATTAGCTAAATAATAAAGCAACAACAGTATAATTAAAGTTATCTCTTCCTTGTTAAAACTGTTATTTCTCACCATATTAAAAGAAAAAAGATCATTACTAAATAACATTCTTAAAAATGTAAAATAGTCTGGATCTAGCATATTCCATTTTAAAATAGAATATCAAGTTAAATCACTAAAATAGCTATTGGTAAATTATTTTACTTCTAATATTAAATAATTTTAACATTTTTGCTATAAATTAATTTACCTTAAAATCTTAAAATGGATGACTCTATCAATTTATTTAAAAATAATAACTTTTGTAAATTATTTGACCTTCGCTTGGCTTAGCGGCTTGATAAAAAGCTTGATAACAACACTAGTATTTATTATTAAATTTTTTAAAAATATATAGTTTTCTTAAAGCATCAAGACAAGTAAATAGCAAAACATTTTCAAGAATTAATTTATAATTCTCCATTAATTAATAATAACCATTTAAAGAAGATAATGGTAATAAATTAATTATTCAAAAAAATAAGGATATCATTGATAAATTATCCTAACCAAAATTAAATAAGTTAAAAAACGCTCTTTTAATTGGATAAAAAGCAAGAATTATAAAAATTTTGTAAAAAGAAAATGCAATATCTAACTAAAAGAAATCTTAATTGTTTGGAGGTAGTAAAAATCTAAATGAGGTAAATTATAAAGAATAATAAGATTATCTTGAATAGGGTATTTTTGATAGCTATTAAAACACAATCTGTAAGAAAAAGCAAAATAAAAAAAAAATTATCTAATTGATAAATACAAATTTAATGGAGAACAAAATTTAAGTTGGCTTTAATGAAGCTTAATATGAACAAAATCATTCTTATAATCAAGATGGAGAATATGATAAATTAAATAATGAACTAAATTAAATTGTGTAAATTTTGTGTGACAAGTATTAAGAAATCCAAAAATACAATTAAAGTTTGAAAATGGAAAAACAAAAAATTTAAGTTGAATAAAAGGGAGAATAACATTAAAGCACTACAATTATCTCATAATTATCATAAAAAACTTCTCAGTAATAAGATTTCTAAGGTATTTGCCTTTCTAATTAATATTCATTTTCTTAATTTGGATAACAAGGTGTTAAGAGATTTGAATCCATCAAAGAAATTCTAAGTAGCTAAAAGCAAAAAATTAAAAAGAACTACTCAAAAAAACATTAAAAAAATGTTGATTTTTACTCTGAGCAACTTTTAAGATAAATATTTTAATTAGGAGATCATATAAACAGCGGAGGGGAGGCAGATATATTTACACATTAATATGATGAAAGTATAGCATATAGAGTAATTAAATTAGATGGAGATGAAGATTTAAATGAATAACTAAAAGAATTATATAGTGTTAAGGAATTATAAGAATAAAATATTTTAAATTTAAATAATTCTCATCTAGTGGAATATAAAGTTGAAGATACTAAGTATATCATTCACGTTATGTAAAAATGTTAAATGAGTCTTTAAGATGAAATATCATCAAAAAAAGTTTTTAGTCTTAGAGAAACTTTAAGATTTATTTCTACTGCTTTTCATGTATTGATTGTACTTAGATAAAAGTATATCTATCATTCTGATATTAAACCAGGAAATATCTTAAAAATTGATGATAATAATTACAAATTATCTGATTTTGGTGCTTCTTAGTAAGTTAATTTTATTGATCCTTATTGTGATTATGAAATGCATACACCTGGTTATATACCATAAAACTAAACTAAAAGTTTACCTTTTTATCATGACATCTATTCTTTTGGTAAAACTATATAAAAGTTATTAATGTAATTAGAAAATCACTCAGAAATTTCTGATTGTTTAAATCAATTTATAAAAGAAGAAATTTGTAAAGATGATAAAAATTCTATTAATGTAGATTGCTTAGAGTAGCCTAGAAAATTTATAAATATCTTAATGAATTTTGTTAATTATGAAGTAATTGAGGTATTCTTAGAGGAATATTTAAAATAAATAGAGCAATACTTAGTTATCAAGAAAGAAAATAAAGTATTTTAGTATGAATCATAATATTAATATGCTGAAATAGCTCTTTTGATTATTTCATAAAAAAATCAAGGTAGCAATTAGCAGAGTCAGTTAACTTCAATTAAAATTAAGGCGTTGATAACTAAAAGTTATATTTTATGTAAAAGAAAACAATATAAAGAATCTCTCGAATATATAAATGAAATTTTTAGATTAGATTTTAAAGATAATAATTAGTCAGAAATCCTAATAAAATCAATTAGAATTGTAACTAAGATATTAATAAAGCTAAATAATTAGACAAATTTATCTAAAGAAAATTAAATTAAACTGATTGATTTAATTAAATTAGTCAATATAGGTGAAGAATAAGATAAATTAAAAATAAAAATAATAGAGCTTCTATTACTAAAATCAAATGATATATAATCAATCCTAAGAGATTTTTATGATTCTCTAAAAAAATAAGATGAAAACTAAGAGCTTCAAATGGTTTACAGAATAATCATCAAATTGATTAGGTATTTAAGAAAGTAAAATTGCTATGAATAATCTCTTTACGATTTAATTTAATTTATTCAATATGATATAACAAATCATGATTCTTATTACAAATAAAAACTACTTAAAGAATTGGGATTATATCTTTACAAATTTCTTTTTTAATAAAATCAATAGCTAGACATTAAATTTTTTGTTAAACATGAAAAGGAAATTTTACTGTTGCCATAAATTATTTTCAAATGTTTAAATGAAATTAAACTAAAATCAAATTTATAAATTTAATTTGACAAAAGTATATGGTAATAATATTCAATATTTATTAAGATAAAACAATTAAATATTTATAAATTTCATGGATGCAAGAAAATATTAGATAATTTAAAACAAAAATATTAAAATATAATGATTAAAATAGAAGAAGAAAAATAATTGCCATTTAAAGAATATGTTTTATACAATAAACTTGATTACTATCAAAAGTATCTTATAAGAAACGATATAAAAAATTATTAGTTTTTTAATGAAGAAGAAGAAAATAGATACAATGAAAAACAAATAATTTAATCAATAAGTCTTATTTAATAAACAATTTTTAAGCATAAAATAAAAAATGAAAATCAAACAAGTAACGAGATATCTTAAAATCAAATAGAAACAATCAGCTTGCTTAATTTCTTAACATACTTTGATTGCGAAAAAATAAGTCTAAATTATATAGGTTCTTTGGAAAAATTCAATGAAGAATTTGAATCATTTAATTCTTAGCTCCGTGTTGACGATATAATACATTACAATCTAAAAAAGTAGTTATTTAAATTAAAATCGTGTAGCTTATAAAGAAATTTATATCTATTTTACTTTATTAATTTTCTTTTTTTGTCAATATTTAATTTTATTTGTTATTAAACTTTAATAAAGCTTGCATGAAAAAGAGAAGATTTTTGAAGAAATTACGAATTTTAATGTTGAAATATAAGATAAATATTAATCTCACTATTATATTGAGAAGGAAGCATCTTTAAGTTTAAATATATAGTAAAATTTTTTGGTTAACTTGATTCTTTAAATTTGATTTAATTACAAATTTTTTAAAGTTATTTTTTTAATTTTAAATATTTTACTAAAAATTAAATATATTTCATGATAAATTTTCGATTAATTATTAATTACTCATAAAATTATTTATTAAATAAAATATTATAGTAGAGTTAGTGATTATAGCTTATTAAATATGCCATGTTTTACTTTTTTTACATCAAATTTGAGAAAAGTACAAGCTCTAAAATTAAAATTTAAGTAAGTAATTCTTTTTAAAGATTAAATTAATTTTATTATTCATAGTAAATTTAGCTCAGCTCACGAGTATGATTTTCTTAAAAGTATTGATACATTGATATTTTATATCAAATTGTTTTTGAATGCTAAAACTCTAAATAATATCACTAAATTTACACTTGATATTAAGTAATTAATTTTTTAAATTTGACAGTTCAATCTTTATTATTACAAATTATATTTTTTCTTTTTTTCCTTTGCAAATAAAATAGAAATACTTTTATGTATTTATTATATGAGATAGATTTTAATAATTTTATACATATTAAATATCTAAAATTTTTTTCATTAATTTAATTTAATCTATCAAAATTACAAATTTCTGGTTAATTCATTTTACTATTTTAAAAATACCTAATCACTGGTAATGAACAAGCAATTAATGAAAAATAAATTACTTACTTTTAGATTTATATTAGTTTTATAAATAGTAATAATTATAATTATTAATTATTCGCTATTTAGATTTTAGAGAATCAAAAAATAAATAATAATTACAAAAACTCTTCTCAAAATAGAAATTAAATATGGAAGCATTTCCTATATTTAATAATAAAAATTAAGTCAAACATAAAATGCACATTTTCATTCAGTAATTAATTAATGAATGAAGCTTAATTAATTTACATAATTTTTCAACTTGAAGATTCTGGAAAATCTATCAAATTTTTTTAAAAATATAGAGAAGTTTTTTGTAAAATAAACGTAGAATTTTTAAATATTTTAATGACTTTCTAAATATTTTTTAGAAGTATAGGAAATTAATAAATAACAAATTTTATTGAAATTTATTTATGAATGTAGATAAATATATATATTGAATTCGAGAAATTTCAAAATAAACAAATAAATTTCTGCTAATTTTAATAAAAAAATTTAAATAATCCCCAAAAGCTTGTAAACTATCTTTATTAAATTAAAAAACTAAATTTTGCAATTATTTCTTTTCTGTCAAATCACCAGCTTCTAAAATAAAAAGATTAATTCAAAGAGTTTATTACTATATATTGTTAAGAAAAATATTAGATCCTTCAATAAACAGTTTAATAGATCATTTTTCACTAAATATATCAGAAAATAAGGGAAAAAAAAATGCGTTTAAAAAAATTTATATACTTATTTGGTAAAAATAACACAATGATTGAATTCATTTAAGAATTTATTTTTTTCTTCAATAAATAACAATAAAATATTTGAAAATTTCTTTATTTTAGCAATTTTTTTTATTAAATTTTAAAAGAACCAGTAGGTTCATGAAAAAAAATAATGACCAGAAATTAAAGAATTAAACTTATTTTATTTTAATTATTTAAATAGTGAATACTTGATCTTTTAATTTGAGGAATTACTTTGTAAATTAGGAGATAGTTTGAAGATTTACCAAACAATTACTGAATTAAATCTTAGCTTTAAATAGTAAATTATTTACAATTTCAGGATTTCAAAACAAATTAGTTAATATTACTATTTTTAAATAAACAGCTTATTTTTTCCAAATGATATTAGATTATATATACGTATCGTCAATGATATTTTAATAAATAACCGAAATATTGTTAAATTAAGCCTTAATCTATAGCAATCTAACTTAGGAGATTTTGAATGGAGTATAGAGGGTCTTAAAAAGTAATTGGCTAAGAATTTAGACTATGCTTTTGAGAATTTCCTTTAACTTACTTATTTGGAAGTTAATTTAAAGTAGGTTCTTTCTACATTATTATTTTTTGGATTTTAATTAATAAAAATTATTTAATTGATATTTATGGGATTACAATTTTTTAAATACAAAAACTATAATAGCAACAATAAAATTGGGAATGATGTTACAAACTGTGTTTCAATTATCATGGAAGCTTGTGAAAACTTAAGGCATTTAATTATTGGTTTAAAGTAATAATCTTCATTTATTTAAAAAGCAAAAAACATAAATATTTAATTATTTTCATTTTATGTATTTTTTAATCAAATAAATTAAAATAATAAATTTTTTAAGGGATAATTTAATAACTGATGAAGGAGTTTAGACTATCGTAAATGCTTATACTAATAGCAAGAACATTACTGAACTTCGACTTAATTTAAAGTAATTTTCTTAAAATTATTTCAGTAAAATATAATATTTACCAACATATAAAAAAAAAAACAGCGATTTAAATTAATTTAACTCTTATATCCAAATAATTTTTGAGTTTCGGTATTACTAATAAAAGTTTTAAGTAAACAAACTTTATTTGCTAATTAAAAATTAATTAATTGGATCAAAATTAAATTTTTTGAATTTTTTTATTTATTTTACTTGAATAAATAATTTTTGAGCAATAGTTTAAATAAATTTTAATTTATTAGTCAAAACAACATCACTTTAAAAGGAGCTTCTATACTAATAAAGGCTTTAGAAAATAATAAAAAGATTAAATAGCTAGCTTTAGATTTAAAGTAAAATTAATTTATTAGACTCATTTTTTCATATAATTATTTCTATTTTAAATTTTATTTCATTTATTTTTATTATTATAAATTAATAAATATACCTTAATAATCACAGTGGTAATTGTATGGAA